GCGGTGCTGGACCGCATCCTGTCCATAGACCGTCAGAATCAGTGGCTGGTGTACGTCTGCAACAGCGGCTACCTGCGCTCTTTAGTGGAGAGCCTGAGGCAGGACGACGGCGCCCTGCAGAGCCTCCTCACACCTCAGCCGCCCCTCCTCAAGCCGCTCTACATCTACGAGAGCAAGATGGTGAGAAAGTCATTAAATAAGCAGAGTTTTTGCATATTATGTTCCAAAGTCTGACCCCGAAAGCTCCTCAGGACCAGCAGAGTGTGTCTAAAGCCTCTGTAAGAACCGGATTATGAAGGTACTGACTCTGTTGTGTGTGTTTAGGCTCTGCTGACTCGTGTGGCGAAGACGGGCCAGGGAGCGGTGGAGCTGCTGCGCTGTGGGCTGGTGGCGCAGCTGATCGAGTGCCAGGTGTTCGACATGGTACCTGACAGCGATGCACACAGGTATGAGAGGAGAGAGTGGGATCTTTTTATTACTGCAACACTTTGGTGTATTTTTTTTTTATCTTGGCCATTTGTAGGAAGAAAGAAATTCTCCTACAAATTCCAACCTTCTTCTGACACTCATGAGTTAAAGGATTTTACACAAATGGCTGTAAAGCAAGAACTAAACCAGATCTACCAATCATTCTTGAATAAAGTAAAACCGTCTTAGCTGTAGGTAGAAAAGTCAAACAGTTGTAGAATTAAACAGGGAGGCGTAGAAGGTCAGCAACTTGTCCTTCAAGGGACATTCTTCATCTTAGCTCCATTCTGCTGCGTTTACCTGATGAGTTCTGTTCATCAGGTGTGTATTTCTATTATTACTTACGCTTGTGTGTGTTTCCTCGTGGACTGCAGAGTGATGAGGGACCCGTCGGGCTTCATCCCCAGTCCTCTGGACCGCTACAGGCAGATCCTTCTCCCCACGCTGAGGCTCTTTCAGGTCATCCTGACGTCTACCTCCATAAATCACCAGCAGGGGGCGGCACAGGTGAGCACAGGAGGCTGTTAAATCTCTGAGACAGCTCTCAGCTTTTTGGCATTTAACTTTTAACTCTGTGAACCACAAGCAGCTTCTGGGCATTCTATTCTCCTGTCATGTTTTATTGCGCTGTGGGCTCATTTTCACTGCGATATAAATTCCTCTAGGCACCTCTAGGGAGACCGCAAAACCACAGGGAAGTAACTCAAAAAAAAATATTTAGTGCTGTAAACAACGTGTACAACATTTTACCCCCCAGGTGTTACCAGTAATGGAGAAATGTCTGCTCTCCATCCCGTAGATATTCTTCTGTTTACATTTTGGATTTCCTTCATTGTTTGCTGTTTGCTCTGTTTGAACATTTGGGCCTAATTCAGCCAAAACGTCTCTGAATTTTTGTCAAGTTGGTGACAGCTGACTCACTGATGGCTTCTTGATTGTGCCAAGGAGGGCAGAAATTTTGACTTTTTTTTATTTATGCAGAATCTGGTTTCTACAAATGATTTATTTTTGAATAAATAAATAAAAAACATAAAATGATTGAAATGACAAGGTTTTTTAAGCTTAGGATTGTTTTTTTTCCCCCTCAACAAAACCAAATGTCACACGTTATTATTTCAGTCCAACTGTTCTTCTGTTTCTTTCCTTTTTTTTAAAGAGTTTCTTGCTCTGATAAATATTGTAGTTTAGTAATAACATGTTTTTCAAACCCACTGATGCTCAAATATTGTCATGCTTTTGAGTTTTCTGTGCTGGTGAGTTCTGTCTCGCTCGAGGCTTTGCTGATCTCTGCAGGGCTTAATGGTTCATCTGTGATTAGCTGGCTAGCAAACACAAAGCAGGATTTGAAAGTGTATAATTAACAACAAGCGTTTGTGTGTGTGTGTGTGTGTCTGTGTAGGTCCTCCAGTGGCTGATAGTTCATGCAGACACCATCCAGTCCTTGCTGCGCTGCCAGGAGCTCAGCATGGGAGCCCTGCAGGAGCTCTCCTTACTTACAGGCATCATCAGTAAGACGGCTCTGCCAGGTACGAAGATGACCAGCAACTGCACATCACATATTTAAATATCAGTGCTTCAGTGGATGATGCTCATGTGCTGCTTGGTGTCTCAGGTGCCCTGGAGATGGGTGGAGAGGTCAACAGTGCTGCTCTCATGGAGTTCCAGGGTCACATTAACAGATTCCAGGTTGGACAATTTCCTTTTTTTTTTGTTAACTATCATCTTAATGTAGACTTTTCTTTTGTCAGACCCAACCGGTCTAACGCATCTCTTCTCCTGCAGCGTCTGTGTCTGTCCCTGCTTGGCCGTCTGGCAGGAAGTGAGCGGGAGAGGCTGCTGAAGCAGGCGGAGATCTCTGCGCCTGGAGACTCTGCAGAACGACGCGAAGAGATGGAAGTGGCCATGCAACAGGTTTGACAATAATCCTTCTCTAATAGGAGATATCAAGTGTATTCTCAGTGCCAGAATCAGCAGGAGGTTACCAAGGACACATTTTAAGCATTTCAACAGCAGAAAGGACACAAAAGGGATAAAAATGGCACCAGAACGTCTGCAGTGTTTTATATCCGTGATTATTCATCAGTTCTGCCTCGTCGGTGACCTGAGCCACGCTGTCCTCTGTCCCTAGGTGTGTGCTAACATCATGGAGTACTGCCAGACCCTCCTGCTGCAGAGCTCGGCCCAGGCTCAGTTCAGCATCTGCCTCTTCAGCCCGTCAGGCAGCGAGCCAGCTGGCAGGGACGGAGGACGCACCGGTCAGTGATATTCTGCCCACACTTAAGAAGAGGAAAAAGGATTTAAATCACTGTTAACCATGCCATGTTTCCGCCTTTACAGTACTGGTCCTCCTCTGAATTGTCCTTTTCCGGCTCTGAGAACAGTTTAGAAATCCTAAATTCTATTTGCAGAAACACTCACCAACTTGCACAAATACACTGAACTGTGGCTCTTATTTTTTGTAAGATCTCTCATCCACTCTGCCGTCAATGGCTTACTCCCGGGTCCCGAGCCTGGGTCTGGTCCTGTACCTGCTGAAGAACAGCGCTGCAGATTTCTTCAGGTTCCATCAAAGCCACAGACAGAGCCTGGGCAAGCTGCAAAGCCTGGATCAGCTGCCGCCCGAGGAGCTCAAGGAGGTGACGATAAACCAATTCATTAATGTGCTTCGTTTGACAGTAAAAGTCCGTCTTGCTAAATCCCTGTTAGTTAAACATTCCTCGTTTTGTGCACCTTATTGGCTCCACTATGCTTCGTCCTCAGTTCTAACCACAGACCTCTTCTCTGTAGTTGTGCCAAGGCCTGGTGTCGGGCCCAGGAGGGGTGGAGAAAATCTCATCAGTCCAGAGGAACTTGCTGGCCAAGAGACGACTGGTCCAGCTTATCAACAACAGAGCCAAGCTGCTGGCCCTCTGCTCCTGTATCCTTTGGCGCTTGGAGACACAGTTGTAGTCACAGAACTAACGGCGTTAAACATTATTGACTCGGTTTTTGGGGGTTTAAAATGAGACTCCGTCGCTTTGTCAACTGATTTTCTATAAAAGAGAAGCGGTCTGAAATAACGCCTCATAGAAATGCCACGTGATGAGATGCCGTTAAAACGCCTTGACCTGCATCTTCCTCAGATGTTATTGAGACCTGCTTGTTCGTATTGTGGCGCCACCTGGAGTACTACCTGCTGCATTGTACCCCCACCGACCCCAAAGACTCCCTGTTGCCTGGAGCCGGTTTATTCAGATCTCGCCTGACAGATGGTAAGACAGTATGTTCAAGATGATACGAGCCAGGAATGTGTTCGGTTCAGTTTAAGATGCCTCGTAAAGTATTTTCAGTCGGTTGATGAGAGCAGAGCTGACATAACGAGCACTTTGCTGAACTAGTTTGTCTTCATTGGTTTTCTGGTTTGTTTATTTCTTCAGACCCCTTCGGCGGGTTGCAGGCCAGCGTAGGCCGTGGACTCAGCCTGTCCAGAGTCAGCCAACAAGACCTTGACCTGGTGAGAAATGTCTCTAAACTGGCAGCTAGCCGCATGTGTGTTTGGCGATAGTGTTGATGTTTGTTTACAGTTTGAATGCGAGCTCCGACAAACATCAAGTATCTGTTGACATACAGTCTCTCTACACCCACATTATTCCTGATCCCATCTGTCTTGTCTCCCGTTCGTGTGAGTGCAGCTGAAAAGCGACATGGCTGCAGGATTCGGGGAGGCTCTGCAGAGGAAGCTGCTGGAGGTGGAGGGCCTGTACAGCCAGGTGCGCTCCCGCTACACCTTCATCCAGGCCCTGGTCCGCAGGATCCGCGGCCTCCTCCGACAGCCCAAAAGCTGAGACGGGCACAAGCAAAGACTGAACAAAACCCAAATCCTCCTTCTCTCACTGAGCCGAAACCTCGGCCACGCAGAAACATAAGCAACACCGGAAAAACCTCCAAAGGACTCCGAGTTAGTTTGCATTTTCTGGCAACATCAGTTCTTTCTATCGTGGGATGTTATGAAATGTGGTGGAATTCGTGCCACCAGCTCTAATTATGCTAACTAACACTGTGCAAGGAGCGTTTTGTTTTTGAAGAAGTGAAAACATGCAGACTTGCAAAACAAATTTTTACTTGTCGAGAGGAAATTTGATATTATTTGTTTGACCTGATGTCTCCTTTTTCCCTTTTTGTGACAATAAACGTTTTCTAAATCTGTTAAACGCTCGTCTAGTTCACACACTCGGCACCTGAACTAACTAGCAAGTCGTAGTAACTTACTGCTGACACATACTTAATCGAGCTTCCTGCTTGCGTTGATTCTGACTCGCTGCATTTTCCCTTTGCTGATATTTCATTACATTAGTTTGTTTTCACTCCGGCTTCATTTTCACCCACTTGTGACAAAGGGCAACCACAGACTTGTGTCTGGGTTGACTCATTTTGAGAATCATCTTATCAGGAGAAGCAAAACAAGGAACCAAAACAAGACACTGTGAAAGTAGCGTCACAAAGCAACCGCAAGCGTCACACTGGTTTTGTACACAAGCACCAAACAAGCTGGATGCACAGAAGTCATTTTAATCTCAGTTTATTTTCCTTGAAGGTACACTTTTTAGACCGTAAAGTGCGTAGATTCTCAAATCTTTGGGGAGGGGATGAGAGGACACATACAAATCTGGATATACATTCAGATCTAACAGACAGAAAGTTTGTGCTCTTGTTGTTTTGTGTGTTTTTTGTTTTTTTATTTGAATAGTGAGGATGGGGGAAAGTTCAGCGAGGTGAGACTCGGGTGAGCACCAGCATTGAGCACAAGGGCGAACTTGGCCGACGGGACCATGGACGTGAACACTGTGGAAGATATAGGCACGTTTCCCCCCCGCCTGCAGTCCGTCCAGCACCGAGGCTGGTCGCTGCGACACATTTCAAGGGTTAGTGGGAGAAAAAAATAAGAAAACAAAACATCTTCTCAGAAAAAATATCATCTACCTAATGCACTTCTTAGTCGACAGTAGGGGAACGAATTTGTGCTACGTTTAACAGATCATGCTTGTCATACTCTATAAATTACTTTAAATAATAAAATTAATTACAGCATTAAAAACACATTTACACTCGTCGCACCAGCTCGCTACGTCTGATTGTGCTGCATTTACAACTAAACAGAAAAACTCTGCCGCACAAAGATTAGAACGATCGCTGCTCGTCTCTCTCCCTGTGAACCGAGGCCTCCTCTGGACAGACAGACAGACGTTTACAGATCCGCCTCAGGATGCATGATCGCAATGTGCAAGTTTAAATACAAACGACACCGTGCAGGCCAGAGGATTGGGCGAAGCATAGCGACACGTACTTTATAGTTTGAGATAATGTTATAGTAAGATTAACAGGTTTGTCTTCTGCATTAAGGGTGATGGACTGAGAGATTGGGGGATTCACAGAGAAGGAAGTCAAAACTCAGACGCATTCAGATCTACGGTAGTGAATCCTCGGTACACACTTTATACCTGCGTCATTATTAATTAAATAGCATCATGGGTAATGCTGTAAATCAGCGGTGTTGGATGGCACATTAACAAACACTTGTCAGGTATTCAATAAATTAGATGAGCTAGAAACAGACATTCACATTTGGTCTTATATAAATTATTTCTTTTTATGAAAGATTGACTAAAAACTGAAAGACTTTCTCTGTGCCGCCCATCGATTTAACCCAGCTAGTCGTATTTTAGACTCTTGTGGTGCTTTGATTTGCAAATAAGTTCCTTTAGCTTAACAGGCTCCATATTCACAGGTTGTTTTCTGATGTGCATCCAGAGTGTGATTGGATTGGTGAGGATTTTGTTGACAGGAGAGGAGAGACGAGACCATCATTATCCAAACACATGGAACCATCTTCTCAAGCAAAGAAAAGAAGAAAATACTGTAAATAGTTTATATCATACTTAGATGTTTTTCTATTTTATAGAAACAAAGTTTAGGGCTATTTTTCTGTACATAAAAACACAACCGTTCCTTTCGGGAAAATAAAAAGAAACCATACTGTACAGGTACACAGAGTTACAGCACCAGCAGACTTAGTTTGGACCGCCCTTTAGCTCTGATTCACATCCTGGACAGGGTGCTTTGTTAGTCCGTGGTAGTCCACTGGCTCAGGTCCGTGATAGTGACTGTCTGAGGGAAGTTGATCTATCCTGAGAGCCCCTCTGCTCTAGTGTTGATTGTACCAGAAATGTCCGTTAGTAATCCAGCACAGCTCTAGCGGGGGATCTCGCAGAAGAAAATCCAGGCATAAAGTGAGCATCAGGGGAGACAGAAGGAAAGGCAGCTTCTCCAGCACTAACTTCTCCACTTTTGTCTTTAAGATTCAAGGACAGAACGGGAGAGTGTGTGTTTGTATTTTGTGCATGCAGCACACATCTGCACATCCCATCTCTCTGGAGCAATCCCACAGCAGTTTGCATGTAAAAAAACAAAGAAAGTCCAACAGCAGTTTGTAGAAAACACACCCTTAGGAGCTGTCAGTACTGGCTTCCTGCGTGTTGTTGTTGTCCAGCACGTTGGCATTGCTGCCGTTGGTGTCGGGCCGTTCTGGCAAATCTCCCGTCACCGCCACTCGAATCACTTTGAGCCAGCGCTGCTTCAGCTCCTCGGTTTCGGCAGCAAAGTTGTGGACGGACTTGGACTGGGAGAGGCGGAAGCTGGCTGGAGGGTCCGCGGGCCGGGCGCTGTCGTCCACAGAATAACCCAGCAGGGGGATGGAGCACTGGGCCTTCACATCCTGAGAGGCAGAGAGGACAGTGTTAACTCTGTGGCAGTCTGGTAAATCAATAGATTTGGTCGCATTTTTGCTCGTGTTGTTGTACCTGCGGAGCTCCGTAGAGGTAGAGCACCAGACACTCCTTCTCAGGGATCACACACCAAACCTTCTGCCAAAGTTTGCTCTTCTCCGAGTACTGCAGGAAGCCGCACATGATGCTGCTGTCTGCGAACTGCCCGGCCTCGATCTGCAGAATACAGAAGAACTGACATAAGTACGAGTGTAGGTGGTGTTTTCTGTTAGACTTGAAAGTGGTTTTGTGTGTCAGAGATCATTATTTATTTCCATCTCGCTGCACCTGATAACAGCTCAGACAGCAGAGTTCATGCATTCAAACATCACCTCGAGGATGCCCTTCTTCTTGCCCTCGGCGATGCCCTCTCCCTTCAGGATGGAGTAGCAGTCTTTGCAGACTTTGTTCACCTTGTTGCCGTCGTATTCGAGCGCCACCTTGTTGTCCGAACATTTCCAGCACACCACCTGGAAGAGAAAGAAGAGGTGTGTTAAGGCTTAGGAGAGGTGGAGTTCAGAGCCTTTACTAAAACAGTTACCTTAAAATTAAACAATAATATGTGTGTATGAGCAGGCAAATGTATTTGAAGTACTAAAAGTAAAAGTAGTAGCAGAGCTTTAATGTATACGCAGCATTTTACTGTTTTACTTTATCAAGATGGAGCCTATTTTCCACTATTTGGTACAGAAGTACAACTGATTATTTAAAAATATATCCAGTTTTTGATTATTTTCTCCAATAATTTACTGATTTTGTTTTTGAAGGTTTGTGAAAGTTTGTGAAAGTGAAGCATATAGGGACACCATCCCAAAGCTTCTTTCATGAAACCAACAGTCAGACCTTTAAAATGACTGGAAATCAATAA